CACACTTTGGCTTTTTGAACTGAAACAAAATTGTAAATTAGAATAGAAGTTTTTCATTAAGAATCAAAAAGTTGTAAAACCTTAATTCTTTACCAGCATTTGCAGAAATAAATATTTTACTAGAAGGAGACTTCTCAAGAAATGGTGTAGATTTCTTTGCTGTAACATATGAATAAAGAACACATAGATAGAAATAATAAAAAATGTTACAATCCTTTTTAAACAAATAATAATTTTTGGGTGCGTGCACATTCTAGATAAGGATATACACTCCAAAACAGAAATATAGAAAGACTTTATTAGCTAGCTGATGGAATATATCAATTCAACAAAAAAGAGCTAATACGAACAACGCTTATTGAATGGAGCTGAAAACTGTAAGGCAAGACCGATGAATGAGGTAACTGGCTGTCAGTTTAACTTACATAAAGCAGGTGAACTCTGAGTTTGTAGGTCGCTTGCAGCTAGATTGTTGTTCACTTCCTCTGTAAAGAAGTAATAACGCATAGCTTGTACAACCAGTCAAATCAAAGCAGGCATATTACAAAACCTAAATACCGAGGAACCTACCTAAGTAATCATTATTTAGCACCCCCGCTTCACTGGGTGTGAAATAATTAGTGGATCTTTTCCCTACATCTTGCTTTGATGTCGTAGCAGTTGAATGACTAGGCACAGGAGGGAGGCTGCTGCTGCTTGCATTATCACCTCCAGCATCCTCGGCCGGTGGTGCAGGTGATTCTGTTGGGCGACGAGATCGAGAAAGAAGACCCCTATGCGCAAATTCCTGCTTCTTCGCCACGGGATTCTCATTTTTTAAAATTTTCATCAACTTTTCCCCTCGGCTAAACATTGTATCTTCCTAAAACAAACACTAAAATTATTTATTTTCATAGAAATGATAACTTGACTGAGGTTATGTAATGTCGATGTATTCAAAGATTTCTATGACTGTTCAGCAATTGCTCAATGGTTAAATTAGTAAGAAAACAAAATTACAAGGACAACTTCGAACATTCTAATTTGACACACATACAGTTCCTTACCTCATTTATTTTATTATTCGTTCGTAGCTAGGTATTCCCCTCCTCCACAACAAAACAGCTAGGGCTGGACGCGCGTTTGACGGAGACGGCGGCCGTCGTGTTTGTTGACCGAAGCGACGCGAACACAGCGCAGCGAAGCGGCGGCGCGCAGAGGTTGCTGACAGTTGCTGAGATCGTACAGTTCTACGCGGGGCCGGCGGCCCAAACGGAGATCGGACAGTTCTACGCGGAGCGGGAGGGCCAAACTGAGATCGGACACTTTAGTTTATTTAGTATTAGGGGCATTTCTGTTCAGATTTCGAAAAACTTTATTA